ATATATATATATATATATATATATATATATATATATATATATAAATACTACACAAACATACCATTAAAATTATATCATTTAAGGCTTCGACACATATATTTAATTGACTATATTGCGCAATACGCTCACATATACCTGAACATTGTCTATCAGTTGGTAGTGTTAGTGATATTGCACAATATAAATGACTTCATATTTAGAATCAGTACATTTGTGAGAACATGATATGCCATGAACATCGATACATGCAAGATGCTAGTGGACGTGTCAGAATGATGAAGCGACTGAGGTACAGTTGTCGACAAGCGTACCTCTTCATAAGGCAAGAGTTTGATTTTGCTTTAAGGCACACACAATCACCAGACATGAGATATCGGAGTTCTCCGTGAATGCAATACGCAATTTCGCCAGTGCCCTCATTTGTGTAATCTTGAATATTACGTCTTCCCGATATTTTTCCACACACCTTCAATTTGTGTAGGGTCGTCAAACTTCGTACACTCTCGACTTGCATATCGATTATTCTGATTACGCGTCATTATTTACAATACGTCTCTTTTTATAATCCAATATTGTCTCGAGTATTTATACGTACACCTTTTACGTATTCTTTGCTTGCACGCCTCGCGCCTATCCCTATGCAGTAACGCTATTACATCCATAATACTGTTTCCTTTTCGAGCAAACGACACACCCACGCAACTCTTACGCTTTACAAAGAATGCATTTTGGTTTAAAGACATACGGAATGATCTAGAGAAAAATTGAAGAATGTAAATACACACGATATTCGCAAAAACCAACGAGAAGAACGAAGATCGATCAGCGTGAGTTGTATCGGTAAAATCGGAAATTGTTTCCATCTTTAGAGAAAGATCAGCAGGCGTTTCTTCACGACTTATCTTGATTAGGTATCCCTTTGCCTATTTCTGCGAGTACTGCGTGTCGTGGAATTTTTCAAGTCTTTCCTTAGATTACCCTGTACACGTGTATATCTATCGCACATATGAATCATAAAATTTGCAAAAAGGTATACAACGATAAGCTATGACTTGATTAAAATGAACGGGTAGCTTGAACACAACTGATACGAAGAATATACTTTCAATTTGATCGTGCGTATACGAGCTTCATCAATTGTGTTTCGGCGATCGTACGGAATGTCTCTCTTGTTACGCATGTTGTGCGGAATGCGCAGTCATCCTCGCGTGTCGAGCGAGTCAGTACCCGGCGTTGATGGCCGTCATCTCCTCGCCCCAGTCGAGGCCCTCGGTGTTGTCGCTGGGATTGCAGCAGTTGCACGTCTTCCCGAGCAAGAACGTGACCCTACGTTGGCCAAACACACAGACATAGAGCACGAGCAACGCCTGCAACAGGTTCACGACGATGTGGCAATACACCAGGGGCTCGTATTTGAGCCGCGACAACAACAGTGAGATCCAGCCGGCGCTCATGATCGCGTACAACAAAACAAACATCCTGAAGCTGTACTTCATCTTGTGATGAATCCGCCCGTACGTGCTCATCCGCTTGATCCGGTTCGCCGTGGTCAGCACGAGACACAGATCGATTATAACGGTGAAGGCGATGCACATGAACATCACGGTGATGCCGAGCCAGCCCACCGTCTCTTGCACGGGATAAGTCGTGCCGCCCACGGTGGGCTTGTCCGTCTCCAAGGCGAAGTGAGCGAACATCGCGGTGCCGGCGATGCACACGGTGAGGCCCCAGACCCATGACGAGTAGTAGCAGTACTTCCTACCGTCGGTCACCCGCAGAAAGACGTTGCGCGACTTGAACGTGTTCCACACGTAGTATCCAAGGGCGCTGAGCCAGAAGAAGGCTGCCATCAAGGAGACATACATGATCGTGTCTGGAAGAGAGAGAAACAAAACAGCGTTGTATTTTCGCATTTCGAACTTGGAAGGCAGACTTGACCTCGGAACGGAAGAGAGTTGAAACGGCGAGCCGTGGCTATTATTAATTGGTCTTTCCGTCTTGTGCGCAGAGCGCGTTGACCGCGCGCTCGTATTAAATCGTGACTCACGCGAGTCTTGAATGCCGCGACATGCTCACCGACACTATGATATTCTTATTGAATTACGTGTAGTGTATTATTAATTGCGTTGGAAAAATTTATCTGGCGGTTGTACGGCCAGTGGGTCTATGACATTAGATTAGAGTTATTGAGTTGATTCAGAAGCTTTTTCTCAGATTCAGAAGTCTTTTCTGCGCGATGAAAAACATTTTGCATTTGAGTTGAAGTCGCAGAGAGATTTTTCTGCTCCATTTTTAACATACGCATGTGCCAATTTAACGTATCGACATTGTGCCTATATTTTGGCTATTCTGCGTCATATTCACCGTTTCTAAGTATCAAAATAACACAATTTATATGTAACATGTAAATAAAGTTCCTGCTGACATATTTTACGCAAGTTAAGTGCAATTAAGCTGCGTTTGTTGATACACTTGCCTCGCGTTAAATTAATACAAGAAGCAGAGTGGATAAGTTAAAACGCGTGAAATATGTTAAATTTAACACAAAATTGTTTGCAGTATGGAACACACGTTTCACTTGTCGATATTTTTCTTGAGAAACGTTTCTTTTTGGACAAAGTATTGCTAAATAAAGAATGTTTTTGAAAAAAGTATTCTATGTGAAAAGTATTTAATGTTATTTATTTATGGGAAAAGACTTCTGAATGAACCTGAACTTTTATCTACACGAGACAAAAAAGATGTAGCGCACATAATCAGAAATAGTTAGTTGTGAGCAGCATAGTTGTGTGATGGTAATGTGTATGGTCAATATCAGTTACTTTAGTACGTCAACTACATCAATGTAGTTGTGCGTGATCTGCTTGTGGCAATCAGAAATCGATTGGGATGACATTTACTATGGCTACATTCTGATTGGAACAACCAAATATCGTCACTATTGTAACATCAGTAACTCAGAAATTACTCTGTGGTTGCAGCAACCATATAATTAGTTGTTCCCTGCTTTACTTAAATCTGACACAGATTTATATGTGATTACATTGACCAACTACACTGTTCTGTTCGTGCGCCGCATCGTGAATAATTGAAATTTCAGCCGAGCTTTTGTGCAAGCAACGCGTAAACACTTTTGTGTAAATCCACGCGGTGATTGACGTGCGAATGACGCTCTCACGCGTCACAAAGACTCAACGTGACTCGCGGATGGCATTGATGAATCAAATGTACATCTCATTATATCTGACGAAGAAGGAGAAAAAAAGACTCGCTCTCCAAGCGACAAGCTCGGCTCCTGCGTACCGGCGATCATGAAGCTGACGTGATTGCCGAACTCGGTGAATATCCTGACGGTGGAGGCGCATTGGTTAGCCACGAGACACAGCATCATGCTGGTGATGATGTTGCCGACGAGGTCGCGCAGCTGCGGCAATACGAAGTAGATCACCGCGACGACCAGGTAGCAGGCCATGGATATGGCGTGGAAGGCCGGGTCGACCGCGTGTCTCAGGAGGTAACTGGTATCAGACCATCGCACAGCGACAGTGGGCACGCATAGCATCGCGTACGTGGCCACCAGATGATCGCCGCTGAGCACGGCTTTGTCGGCGCAGTAATGACCGAACTCATAGTCGTGGTGTATGCTCGCAGGCTCCTCCAGACTCAGTGTCGCATCGCCGTAGACACCCCGCTTCTCGTCCATGCTGTTGGTCCAGTCGACGATGTAGTGGCGCAGCTCGCCGGACGACAAGATCGCTAAACGATCTGGTCCGGTCGGATAATAGTACACGGGCCATTGGTGCTCGTCGGAGGCGCACCGGGGCCGTCCGATCGTCAGCTGGTACTTGGGCTCTGTGAACTTGGACTTACTCGAGTCGGACTTCTCCCCCGCGAACTCCGGCTGCCACTTGGTCTCGTTGGTCTCCTTCAACGGCGTGCACCGGTCGTCCACCAGTATCTCCTCGGACTCGCAACACTTGCCGATGTTCACCACTGCGCCACCACCACCACCACCACCACCACCACCACCGACGTCGACAGGACGCGTCTCGGCGTCGGCGGTGGCGAGTGTCCGCGTGCTCGCAGCCCAGAAGATGATCGCGAGCGACGTCAGCAGGCTCGTCGCTGGATACATGACGCCGGAGCGCGCGAACGGGCCTCTGATCACGCTCTCACGTCCGCCGCATCCGTTCGCTCGTTCCTTCGTTGGTCGTCTTCACTGGAAGTCGCGTCTCTTTCCCTCTCCCTCTCTCTCTCTCTCTCTCTCTCTCTCTCTCTCTTTCTTTCCCTTTCTTCCTCTCGTCCGTCTGCCCGATCGATCGTTTCGCGGAGCACTCTCCCGCTCGTCTGTGAACCCGTGAGTCACTAGCTCATTGCGACACAATGTCGATGAACGATACGCACACTCATGCTCGCGCCTCTGCATACCTGGTCATCAGTGTCGCCGTGTACCTATCTACCTACCTACCTACCTATCTACCTACCTGCTTATCCCTGCCACAGGCCGTCGCCATGACATTCCTTTCGTTTTTCGTCGCATCCAGCTGCTGCCTACCCTTCTTCTCTTCTTCTCCTCCTCCTCACTGTCCCCTCTAGTCGGCCTCGAACGCCAACCGCCTCTATTGCCTGTCTGTCCCGCGGCGTCATGCCAGCGAGACGCACAATCGTTGCTACGCTCTGTTTTCGTTTCTGACTCATTTCTGTCATGGTGATTTTAATTTATTCAAGATCGTGCGTTCAGCATACTTAATCTCTCAGATTCCAAAGCCGTTGTTTCTTTTTTTTATCCTTCAGAAGACATAAGAATTGAATGCTGAGTTTATCAGCGCGGATACTGCTTAACGTTCGGCTCTTATAGTTCCGTATTAATAATTGTCATTTGAAACTTGTTTCTTGTGAAACATTTGGATTTTTATTCAAAGAAGAAAGAAAATACCGAGTATTTGAAAGTATTTGAAAATTTCGGGATTCATCGACAACTCGACTCAATGAAATGGTGAATAAGGCAAATTTTGGAACTCGACGCTTCACACATACTTCAGCACGCAGTGCTCGGATGTTAAACGAACGCTTGGTTATCAATTCAGAACGATATTGATAAAACGATGGAACAGCTGGTGGAAATGTCGAAGGATTATCAGCGCGATAGCGATAGCGACGAGTGCACGACATGGGAACCGCGAATTATCTGACTGATCAACAATTTTCGTTCTTTTTATTTTCTGAATATCAGCGATTGTTGTTGACCCGCGAAAATCGCAATCAAAGTGCATCCGTTTTTTCCAAATGCGGGCCGACACCGCCTTATCGTATTCTTATCGAAGTTATCATTATCTTTTGACCTCTATAACACTTAAAACGTGTGCAATCGCAGGAACGCGATCCCTCGTATGTGACGCGCGCTCTAGCAATCTTATCCGCGCCGAAAGTGTCATTCTATATGGAACGATCAAGCTCGGCGGATTACGAAATAGAGGGAGACAATACTTTTTCGAATGGCAATGTTAATATATAAGGCGTGTATCGGCAGACGCGCCGATCCTCTCGTCGGAACCGCTTCATTCCTCTCACGATTTTTCTCCTCCCTCTTTTTGTACTCGCGCGTTACTTCTTCACATTGGACGCGTCTGTTAGCTTCCTTAACGCTAACGACGCATATCAACAACGCACGTACACGTTCATTTCGTCACGTGCTCTCCGAGAAAACATTAAATCACGGCCGAGTATATGACAGTCTCGCCATGTGTGCGCGGAGATAATATTGTAGTAAAAATTACGTTAAAAATGTATTCCTCTTTTACAATGTTTCTATATTGAACTATATAGTAGAGTTTCTATACTGTAATTATAGTATAAATTATCATACAACTGTAGTACAAACGATTATACTATTGCAAAATATATATTGTGTGTGTATATATGTGTATATATATATATATATATATATATATATATATATAGTATAAATAATTGTAGTAGTAGCTCAGTACTGTAGTATAAATAGTTTATACTGTATTGTAAACTATTATATATGAATTGTATATAACTATAAAAACGTAATATATATTATAGTATATTACTGTACTATATTATAGTAAATTACATACATTATAGTAAATTAAATACATTATAGTATATTACTATACTATATTATAGTAAATTACTATACTAGAAAATAAAAAGAAACTAAAGAAAGAATAAAAAGAAAGAATAGAAACTATAGTATAAACTATACGTAACATAAATTACTATAGAAACATCAAAATTGATCTACCGAATATACGATGTAAAAAACATACAAATAGTTACAGTAATTTTGTAGTAAAAAGTCAAATGTGCATAACATTTTCAAACATACATAACTTCGAGCATAATTTCTGCACGGTTCAAGAGAGAGAAAAAGAGAGAGAGAGATTACAAAAATTCTGTTGTTATTTTTACTACAATATTTTCCTCGTATAGAAGCGGATAAAAAGAGCGCAGAGCGAGATCCGTTCGTGGGTCATTGTCAAGAAGCTTCTTGATACTTGAAGAAGAATCACGAGAATTAATTGCGATCGAGATGCCGGTCTTTTGCGTATCGATACGTAACTGCGCGCCTCACTCAAACATCTCGCGATTGTGTTCTCGGAATCATCCCGACTATTTGATCGCTGGGATCCGAAATTGAAATCGAGAGACCCATCACCGTGTATAACAAGGTTACGGCTCAGGACACCTTGTACAATTTGTATCAACGATCTACCCAAGTAGAACAGGTTGCCTATTGGCAACGTTTTTGAAGTTAACTTTTGGAGCGTATCTATAAGATAACAAGTCAATGTCAATAATTCGTCTCCTTTAATGTGACATCAATTAAATAACAATTTACAGTTGCTTAATAGCTAGTTTATTTATGTATCTTATAGTTATCATTTGACATATATTTAATTTATATCCATGTACCAACTTGATACTTTTATATCTAAATGATATCTTTTTGGATATTAAAAGTTATCTTTCGGGCGGACATTAGATAATCTTTTCAGCAAACAGAAACTTAACTTTTGTACCGAAAATAAAGTTATCCTGACTTAATTTTATGTAGTAAAATGGAATACTTTAAGATAACGTTGTTCTACTTGGGTAAGTGAGTGATGCGCGAAATTAGCGGAAGTAGTGCGTATCGGCGCGATGCGGTCGACGTTGTTCAACGCCCGCGGAGAATGATCTTCTTTTTTTTTTTTTTTTTTTTTTTTGGCAAAGCTATTCTAGAAATTTTACTCATGGCCGCGGGCGTGGAGAGGCCGCGGCAGTGGAAGATTAATTATCTCAAAATTGGTGCCACCGCCGCGATATATCGCGAGTGATATTTCGCGGGCGGTGAGCGTGTGCGGTAACCTTCGAATCACGTAATCGTACCACAAACGGCCTTAACCCTGTTTACCTTTCGATAGCTTGTTCTGCACGGAGAGAATATTATAGTTCTTTTCTTTTTTCATATAAAATCTTTTCAATTTTGCTATGTGTCTCTGGTATAGAAGCAGACCTGGTCAGTAAGGTCTGTTCTGCTGAAAGACGTAGCTAATTTCGTTAGAAGTACAATAAGTGTCTTAATAACACATTCTAGTTTCCAAAATATAAGTAGCACACGTGAAATGGAAGTGAATTACTGCAGAATGTCGATTTTTTCTTCTTACAAAATCCTACTATGGAAGAAACAATAAGGATATTAATTGTCACAACAGCGGATATGCCACAACAAATATGTCTAAACTTACCGTAACGAAATATTAATGTTATTTTTTGTCTATGCGTACGAAATGGTTATAGTAACCACAGTACTCTGGTATACTGGTCTTCTTTGCTGTCCGTACGTGTTTGAACAGTATTCTCAGCATTATATGACGTAAACAAACCACAACAGTTTTCTCCGTGCGTAGCAATCTTTACTATAAACTTCTCTCTGTGTGTGTATACGTACGATGTCGTTTCGTCCCGATGTCCCGAATTCAGAAAAGCGCGTCAATGATTTCTCTCGCCTTCTTTTCAAAAAAGAAAAAAAAATTCCACACCTAAACGTCCTGCGTGTGTTTTGCGCGTTTCCAAGTTGGATACGCGTGTATCTATCGGGCCTCCCCTTTTCAGTAGATTTATATTCAAGAAATAAACAAGATTACTCGCGAGTCGGGGATTAATGTCGAAGGTTAATGCCTGGCGAATTTCGGCGAATTTCTGCTTGCGTAATGTTCACGAAAATCTAGGCGCGCTTGAGACACACGATAAATAACTCACATACGCAAAGCAGCGTCGGGAATTAGTTGATTGAAATTTCTCTCGACTAAAATAAGCGGCGAATCAATAGTCAAAAAACAAGTAAATCACAAAAAGAAATTAAAATAAAATCGTCATATATAAAATCACAAAAATAATATCCTCGATTGGTGAAATTAGATATTAATTAAACTCTGATGTCACTGATTATACCTTGATTAATAAATTAATTTCATCGATCGATTGAATCATTTGTGATTATATACGAGATGATTAATGAATTTTGATTGTCGATTATTTTAGTCGACGGAAATTTCGATCAATTAGCGCCCAACATTGACGCAAAGATAAATTATTATGATGATATAATCTCGTTCGAAACGCCGATGGGGATGTATGAATGAGAGAGCGAGGAATTCACACGTTTTCGCGGGAAATCGTAAAGACGTCTCGTCGACTCAGTCGTGACGTCGTTACGTTTCCGCGAGTGAGTGATACCGTAATTGAATCACATCCTCGACGAATCTGACTCGATCACGGGCGAGGTGATATTACGCATATAGTTCATGAGTAATCGTGTAATGTACTTTTTGTATTTCTAACACTTCCACACGCAAATAAGTCATTCTTTCCGGCTCGTTACGTAACTTACGGAGATTCTTGGATAACATTATCGCGCGTGTGCGCCTTCTCGCCGGTTTCTCTATGCTAATCGTCGAAACCACGAGGCGCATTCCGCGTGGAATAACGCAAATAATCATGAGCGTACATACGCAAGATTATTTTAACGACGGGCGCGAGACAATAGTCACGTTATTATTACTATCTGTGCATCGATCGCGTCTATACGTAATAATGCGGACGTTTTTCCGGGAGGTCGTCTCTGCCGACGGCGACATTTCTCATATTAAATGCACAGGTACGATATCTCTTATGCCTGACGCATACGTGACGCATAAGCTCGCAGTCCAGGATAGCTGACGGGGGAAGGAACTGCGCAAAAGCGCCCGCGTTATCCTTGCTGGGACAGCTCGAGCTCCTCGGGTAGCACAGCCTCGCATTCCTCGTCCTCATAAGCCGCCCAGGATTTCGGAAAGCCGATGCCGCAAGGCCGCTTCTTCGCCAACAGCTTCCTCACTCTTTTCCGCGTCGCGACCAACAGCAGGAATATTAAGACTCCTTGAAGACCGTTCAATAGGTCCGTCGGTATCCTGGCGAGAGAGTAGAATTCGTTCGATTATGTTAGTCCGCGGAGTACACCAATTGGCAGAACAGCCTTGGCACGTAATTGGGCCACCACACGACAAAAATGCTGTTGTATCAACACGCGGAGAGAGAACTTTAAAGGAAACTTTCTACAGAATTCTGTAGCCCAAGAACAGATCGATATTTTGCAATAATTGTCTGTTCTTTCATGTTATATATGCTGTGTTTCTAACGAGATTTACGATGTTTCTTTGTAAGATAGATCCTACTGACAGTCAATTTTATCCTGCACTTTTAGAAATATAGTAAAATTTAAAAAAATTTACATATAAAAAGAAAATATATTTTTTCCATACATATATAGAAAAAAAAAAATATATATATATATATATATTAAATATAAAAAAGAAATATATATTTTTTTGTGTTTAATTTGTTATGAATAATGAGTGAATAATGTGAGTTCTACCTGCACACAACGGGTGTATTCTTAATTGTCAATCACTCTGTATATAATCGTTATATAATATTCTCTCTGTGCAAAATTGGCCAACAACGCCGTAATTGGCGCAAATCCTGTCGCTTCGAGAGTAACATTATTGAAACTAATACATCATACATTATTTTAACAGCTCGATTAGTTTCAATAATATTGCTATTCAATTAAGATCTATTACAATCGTGGCGCTGTTAATCAGTAGCTGTTGATAGAACAGAATTCTCTTCCGCGTAGTATTCTATTTCAGTATTTCTATTATGCATCTACATTGACGTACGTTGAAGTTATGACAGCGACAAATTACTAACACTTCATTCCTACTTCTTGGAATAATGAACAAACGATGAATCGAATAAACGTGCGTATGCAGTGAGAACATTTGAATAATTATAATTGCATTGAGGCTGTTTTGCCGGATAGTGCACGCTGAACAAGGCGCGTAACAATTGAAGATTCACTCACCAGAACTCCTCTATTTTCGTGTCGACGGCGAATGATATCACCTCGAAGATCCAGGTGATGCCCATGATGAGCACCAGCTTGATGTACAGCAAACATTTGAATCGTAAAACTCGCAGCTTGCTGCCCGTGTAATCGCGATACTGATGCCATAAACGCCAACTGGTCAGCCCGAGATAGATAATGTTCAACGTTAGCAAGGTAGCTATCGGCCCGTAAAAGTACGCCCACGTCTGAATGTTGCCTGCAGGAAATACAATTGTCGCGTTTTACATCGCTTGTCGCGAAAGACCGATGAAGACTCTTTTTTTAGTCTTCCTTTAACCAGCCAACGTATAACGACCGAAGCTTAAATTTTTAGGCGATATAAGAGAAGGATCACTTATCACTCGTGGACTCACCGCCGAACCAGCAACTGAACTCGCCGAAACCAGGTTTCAGATGTGGACCTTCTATAAGATGCAGCGTCAACGCAGTGAGCAAACAACACGTCGGGCCACCCCATCCCCAGATGCAGTAAGCATAGAAGAGCGACTGCTCCTTCACCCTGAAGTTCTTGAACCTGCACAATCAGGGTGAGACAACGGGGTCAGATCTGAGCGATGCTCACAGCTGGAGCTCGATCGACAACTTACCACACGGCGCGCCAAATGTTGAAGGCCACGATGTTCAGCCAGAAGAATGCGGACATGAAGGCGAAGTATAGGATGAATCCTGGAAAACCGTCGGACAAAGTCGCAGGGATAAGTCCCGATCGGGTCCCGCGTGTCGTTAAACCAACATCGTATAATTACTTACCGAGAGAAGCGCATATGTTGTAATCGCCGTCGACGTTCAGCCGCAAGTGCTGAACTGAGAGGATGATGTAGCTGACCGCCAGGGTGGTGACCGCGGCCATCATCGCCTTGTCTTGAAGCTCCCTCAGCTCCGGCAGTATCACGTAGACCGCTAAAGTGGCGATCAGGAAGACGGCCGAGATGATGCTGACGATGCAAATCAACAGGCTCTTCCACGAGAAGTCCTCGATTAGTTCGTTCTCGAAGCATGCCAGGGCGACGTTGCTGTTCCTGTTGTTCCGTTCCAACGTGAGGGTACAGAATCTGATGGAATACACGTCACGATAAATAAGAACTGAAATCTATGCGACAGTCTGCATCGCCGGCCAATTGTCTGTTGAAAAGGGCGTCATCGCGGCGATAGAGAATTCGCGAGCAATCGACATAACACGGGCACCATCGCGAGGCGTGGGAATATCCCAGTCGGCAAGAGTTTCCTCGCGTTTTCCCGGTATTCCGAGCATTGATCCTCGATATTTTCCGCGAATCGCCACGATAAACCGACGATTCGCCAGCTGTTCGTAATTATTTGCGGGAAACGTTACCTGCTCGATGCGACTTTGAGGTTCTCAGAATACATGTACAACCACGCGGTATCATTCTCGTAGATGATGGTGAAGTTGTCGTGCTCATTCGCTTCAGGATCAACCATGAAAATGCCGTACGGGCAGTTCAGCCGGATCCTTGTGTCGTTCGTGCAGTTGAACGAACGCTCCCATGTCGTTCCCTCGGCGCAACAGGCGATGTCTTCTAATGAGAGACTCGGCGAGACCAAGCTCGCGAACAGTCCGAGCCACAGTAGCCAGAGGAAACCTGCGAAACATCGCGATCCCGATCGCGTGTGAATACGAGGAGTGATGCGGCCCGAGCTTCAGCTCGGACTGGGACTTGATAGGGAAACACGAGGATTGGGAAATTTTGTGAGAGCTAACAAGCAAACTAAGAGACTTTACTTCGTAAAGTCATTTGTCACAGTTATCGTCAATAATGGCGAGAAATAAAGTCGTTATCAAGCCGTTCGCTTGAAAAAAGAAAGTTAGCTTGTTTTAGAAGAGCAACATGCTTGTTTTTCAATGTTTGATGAAGTAATTTTTAATAACTTGCAATGGTTAATGGCATGACAAGCGACGTATTGTTTTCCAATCCTGTAAAGGTCACAGAGATCAAAGAATCGATAAATTATCCAGGAAATGATTTACTGGCCAAGTAAGCGACTGAAAATCGAGTAATTGGCTTCTCGCTTGTATCATCAAATTAGAGACAATATATTTTCAGCGGAAAGCTAACGCTATGCACACACGTGATTTCATTAACAACCGTACGGTGCTCAAACGTGTCTGAGTGGGAAATCGTGAAGAAATAATAATACGTGTTATCCCGCAAAAATTGCATCACAACTAAATAAGCACGAGTTTACAAAGATAAAGAGGATTATTTTGTCGCGTTAATCGAATTCTGTGTCAATCGTGCGAGTGCAAAGAATAATTTCTCGTAAAAAGATTGCGATAATCTTGTCGCAAGAATCGTGTTTACGAAAACAAACGCGATTTGCACTGGCGTATCTATCTTGTACAAGATATTCCACGCGCATATATTTAAATATATATATGTGCAGGTACATTTGCACGCGATTCGCACTAACGTATCACTCCTCTTTGTATAAGATACGCCACGTGCATAAATTTAATTCTGGAAGCCTAAATATGGATAAAATTTACTCAAGCCAACTTTTCAAATGTTACACGGAAAAAAGGTTTGATTGAATTAACCAAATATCTGGTCGAATATGAACTATCCAGAAATTCCGATTGAAGTAACACGAATTTTGTTTAAGTGAACCAAAAATCTTGTTAACTTAAACAGAATTCGGGCTTACTTCAATCGGAATTTCTGGATCGTTCATATTCGACCAGATATTTGGTTAATTCAACCAAACCTTTTTTCCGTGTACCGTTCTCAAAACTGTGTTTTATTTCTTCGTTATAACACTTTTCAATTTCATTGAAACGTAAAAACATTAATAGATTCATATCCCCTGTTTTTACACCGATTAAAAAAAAGAGCGCTACGAAACAACCAAAGAATCGAGTGCACTGAGAGAAAAATGTTTGGTATTATGTTTGTTCGAGTTGCTTGTACTATTCACACTTTTACACCTAATGCCCGTTGCACACTAGTGCACCTCATACAATACAAATTTTCCAAAATACGTTCTGAAGACGCTTTTAGAACGGAGGGATATCATCAGAATATTTTTAAGACGTCCTTTGAAGATGTGAGCTGTCTGAAAATAACTAATATCCAATAGGTTTATTCACATTAATTAAACTTTTTACACTTTCACACTTAGTGCACATTAATTCTTTAGAGGTTCTAAAAATGACGTCATGATTTCCGTTCGTGTTACGAGTGTAAGTGCAATTTTTACACTTGATCCCAAGCAAGAGTGAAAAATGTATCAAAATTGCATTTACACTCGTAACACGAACGGAAAACATGACGCCATTTTTAGAATCTCTAAAGAATTAATGTGCACTGAGTGTGAAAGTGTAAAAAGTTCAATTAATGTGAATAAACTTATTGGATATTAGCTATTTTCAGACAATTCACACCTCCCAAGGACGTCCTAAGAATATTCTGATGACATCACTCCGTCCTGAAAACGTCTTCAGAATGTATTTTGGAAAATTTGTGTTGTTTGGAGTACACTAGTGTGCAACGGGCATTAGGTGTAAAAGTGTGAAAAGTACAAGCAACTCGAACAAACCTATTTATAACTATAATCTCGTAGAGAAATAATTACTTCAGATTATGATCTAGAACATCAAGTTTTTCTCAATTCTTTCGTAATGTCAGCGATAACAATCTTATGTTACTACTATCATTTTCTTAGCACACCAAACGGTATATCTGATGCAAGAAATAACTAAAGTTTCAGTTGGTTTTCGACTGAATCTTTTTTTTCTCTCGGTATGTTTAACGAGCACACGCCACCGTTATTATTTCTAGCGAAACGCAACGCGCGGAGTTCCGCGTACGTCACACGGCTGGTTGATCTGATACTGAAACTTTTTTCTCCTCAATGATACGCGTTATCGCGTCGATGGATTATTATCAGTTCGCTGTGGGTGCGTGATTTTCAGTAGAAAATATGATACACGCAAGGTCGCGATGCATCGCGCGCTCCAGAGAGAGCTTCTTCGCGAACTGCAACTGCCGGCGCGCTCGTCATCTCACACAAATCGCGGCGTTCGTAGGTATAAACGCGAGAGACCGCGAGGAAAAAGCAGAAGAAAGAGAAACGAAGAAATGAGTGCATCGCGCTCGGTTTCTCAATTAGCGATCAGTCGCGATTGCGAAATGGCCGAGTGCCATCCGTAACCCAGTTTAGTGCTAATGGCGGGTGCGCGATGCGAAACGATCGCGATGACAGAAGAAGGGATGACTCCGTTAACGAGGCTCTTTATTACGGCCATTGGACCGCGTCGTGCATGTGCAATGCATACTCGGTCGTTCATCGTCTCTCTCCCGAGACCGTTCTTCCGATTTTGAGCTTTCATCGCGCACGGAAGAAAGGTTTAATCGGATCGAGCGAATTTCTGGTCAAATACGAACGCACCGGAAATTCCGGTTGAAGTTATCGGAATTCTCTTCAAGTTTCAACAAAATTTCAGACCGATTCGCAGCCGACAATCATGGACAGAAGAGATGTCTGTGGTGTTTGATATGAGAAAATGAATTCTCCTGTCGCGGACAAAACGGACAGTTCGCAAGCTCACCCAAAACATGACGAACCCTTCTGTTCACGAGTGTATACACAGAGAATATCATAGTTTTTTTCTTTCAAGTTCACGGAGAAAACTACTATGGTTGTTGTATTCACATATTCTGTTAGAGAGAAAATTTACGTGATTTCAAATAGATATGGCATTAGAAGTTGCTGTTATTACACGCTCATCTACACAATTCTCACACAGCCATTGTTCTTATGATATACAGGGTGTCTCACACTCTCCTCCGTGCATTTTGTGGGGACGTAGAATAGGTTGAGGTGAACATAAAAGTCCTGTACCGTTTTGCGACATTCGCAATAATTATCGAGATATTAATTATAGAAAACTTGTAAATGATCATGAAGAATATGGTAAATGAGTTATAGTAGCGACGACTGCCGTCGTGTACTTATACTTTAGGTCAAATTGAACAAAAAAGTCCTCTACCATTTTCCAAATAATCACATAGATTTTTAATTATTAATTAAAGAAGATTATTGCACGATTTTGCGTGATAATGCACTCATCTTTTTTAATTAATAATTAAAAATCTATGCAATTATTTGGAAAATGGTAGAGGAGTTTTTTATTCAATTTGACCTAAAGTATAAGTACATGACGGCAGTCGTCGCTATTACAACTCATTTACCATTTACCTGCATGATCATTCACAAATTTTCTACAATTAATATCTGGATAATTATTGCGAATACCGCAAAACGGTATAGGACTTTTATGTTCACCTCAACCTGTTCTACGTCTCCACAAAATGCCCGGAGGAGAGTGTGAGACACCCTGTATAATGTTCAATTAGCACATCATTGTATATACATAGTTGCCTCAACTAAAGGAATATTGCTGTCTCTCTGTTGTGATCTGCAGAACAAATATTATGACTGAGAGATCCGTAGAGTTTGATTGCACCATACAATACTGCTCAAACAAACACATATGAATACACTGAGAGAAAAATTAGATTAAAATCAACAAATATTGCCTTGATGGGTGCCATTAACATATTTACTTAAATCTACATTCTCTTTATTTAAGTCAAATATTGTTTATTTAAATCAGGTAAACAATATTTGATTTAAATAAAGGGAATGTAGATTTAAGTAAATATGTTAATGGCATCCATCAAAGAAATATTTGTTAATTTTAATATAACTTTTCTCTCAGTGTAGGCAGTAGAAAAGGTTGAGGTACCACTTTCAGTAGTACTGTGGTTGATACAACCATCGTATGTACATGCGAAAACTAATATTAATCAGTAGAATACAATCATGGATCTTTCAGGTCCAACGGATTCTTTTCTTGGAAGTTTCTCGAAGTGTCGAAGAGCAAAGTGCAAAATACATTGTGCAAAGTTACAATTTTCTAAACTAAATCTCATTTCCTCGATCTATATTTCCTTTTTTACAAATAAATTATATATTATTATTGTCCAATTTTAATTACATATGTTTGTTCTATAAACTTGAAAGAATATTCATGAATTTTTGCAGATTTTTGAAATCATTGTAAATAGTTGAAGTAATCGTCGGATTTCAAAAACCCACGATTGTATCAAGGTGATGCCTTTTTTCACATTGTATTGTAAGGGTTAATATTTTGTTATGGCAAATTACTTAGGCAAATAACATTTAAGAATCGCACGAACGTGTTCTTTACAATTTTACTAGGTTTTCAGTAGTCCGAGAATAGATTGTCGGTAAGGTCTGTCTTGCTGACGCGCGTTTTACTTCGATCTCATCGAATTCTTATTTACTCTTTATTTAACGTCCATTTAATTTGATTTGCATTTAATTCAATTTTTATTTCACGCGTTCTGTTAGTTTCACAACGAGATAATGCCGCGTTAAAGCGTGAAGGCGGAATCGCATACGAGTGACGTGCCAAGTAAGCTGCAACTTGTATCAATTTTGCATTACAATTCGTATAACGTAATTTTTCGACGAGCTTCGGTGTACGACACATTCGCTGCTCTTCCTAGTCCTTTCTGCTTAAGTTTTGCATCACTAGATTGATTTATCGGCAATATCATTATCAGTTAACTGGACGTCTCGTTTATTTTTGCGTCTTTCATTTATGGCGCGCACATATTGGCCTTGTAATCTCGTCGGATAATGTTATTTTTTGCAAGTTATGATATTCAAGCCAGCGCCGCCGTACATTAAATACGCGCGAGATTCTATCCTGATTTACTGAGCCGCGATCTCCATCGTTATCTCCTCTTACAAGCGGAAAATACCGAGATTACAAACTCCAAGCCCGCGTGAGTCGTATCGCATGGAAACGTCGAAATGGGGTTTTACACTTCCGATGTTTCGAACTCGGCGTCGTCCACTGGCGTCATAGCCGCATAATTTCTGGGAACTCCTGATATCCGCGTAAAAATTGATTGTTTTCTCATAATGAGCCGCGCGGTTAATTGCACGGTTAATCGCGATAATTCGTTCGGTCATAGTCTGTGAATATTTGCCTCGCGGCGAACAGCAGTGGCGACGTACGGACGTCAGCCGGTCTCTCAATTAGTTCAGCATACGCATAATTAGCGAGCGAAACGCGTCGTTGCTCTCGCGTCGTAGTGTTGCTGACGTCGTTGCGGGCAATCTCGGGGAAAAAAGGAAGAAACAAACAATAAATTGCCCTCGGCGCCGCGCGGGGTTCATTCAGTTTCGGCGGTCGTGGGAATCCAGCCTGTGATAAAGCGCTCTTGCGTCTCACGTGAGAAAAAAAAAAAAGAGAGAAGCAAGACGTAATACGCATGCGAGAGAGAAACAGGAGCGCGAGCGAGTTGGATGTTGGTGTCGCAAGTAACACGCGCGTCTACGCACCGATAAAAGATAAAGCGACGCAAATTAGAGATATGCGGCTCGACTAGTCGAGCTCGAGCAGAATGTTTCGTTTGAGAGGAAACGAGCGGACGGCAGGAGAGAACGTTATTAATAATCGTGAGAGGGAATTTGCCTAATGCACTTCGTGCTCCCGTCGACAGATGAGAGCTCTGTGGGAATTGTAAGACGTTAAGATAAGAAGATAAGTTCTGTCCGACTTGTTTGTAGTATTGGTCCTCGCCTTCCTCCTTTCTTCCCCTCGCCTCGCAGGCAGAGATTTAGCGGGCGGTGTCATTTCGAAAAAATATCTTCCGGCAAAGTTCCTCGCATTCGCGTTTCCCGAGTGAACAACCAACGCTTGTTTGTTGCTCGGCACACGTGCCGCGCGACGTAATCGCAGCGTTGTGCGCGTGTGCGCATCAATATTTACCGCGAGTAATTATCTGTTAATAATTTTCTCAAACACAGCGCCTTCTTTGTCGAGGAAATAGCGATGTCAATAAGCGTTACGGACGATTACGCCTCTGATGACGATCATAGATGATCTCCTCCAGTCAGAGTCGCCACTCTGAGTCGTGGACAACAATGCAGGTGGAGAACTTTGCAATGAAACTCGCTGGGCAGTTTTGCAATCGAGGGGCAGATTGCCATTCTATCGGTTCAACTATTATCCTTTCGTAACAAGAAAAGGATTATATGGTTCTTCTTGATGAATCAACAAATTTTTGGGAATGAGGAACCGAAATGCGTTTGGTTATTTGAATAAATGTTTTTTTTACCTCTACTCAAATGATGATTAATACTGGTTGTCCGACAGCTAGTTGTATCATAACACTACGTCATCTGTGTTTGTGATTCTAAAGGCTCTTATTCCCAAAAATTTGTTGAATTTCGTCTTTCACGCGTGATATTTCAATAAATGCAATGTCCTACACAGCAGAAATGTTCAAAATACATCATGAGGATATCTTAGAGATGTTGTGTGATATCTTTAGGATATCCCAATGATATATTTGCAACATTTCGGCTCTACTAAAAAAATTTGCTATTTTTCTCGATGAGTTGTACCTCACCGACAGTCTACTTCTGCAGCGCACCGAAAACTGTCGTAAAATTGAAAAAAAGTTAGCATGAAAAAAGGAAAACTGTAATTTTATTCTTTCCTCTCTTTTTAAGTTCCACTTCAACCGGTTTGTCCTGCTCATTTTTTCTATTAATAACATCAGCGTTAGATGCGGTTATTTCATTACCGATATAATTATTGATTACAAATTTGCAAGCGTCCGGCAGCTGTACCTTATATAAGCGAAGTAAATTCAATTTATATGCTGCAAATAACGGAAGAAAAAATATCATCCGGGCAGATGAGCAAGCGAAGCTATCACTTGAGTAGTCGCTCGTCGAGACGTTCACGCGATATTCTCTGTGCGACGAAGTCATGATTCTTCAGAAGTGATCGATAGGATCGGCACACAGAGAAGGAGGTTTCTTGCGAAAAAACAATGCACGAAGTGCATCTCTAAATTTCTTCGAGTGAAATTTCACTCGTAGAGCGACTAGCTCGAAATCGAGTGACTTTTCAAACGTGCAGAACGAATCCCCCGCTCTGACTCGCCGTGTGAATATTTCCGATCGAAATTCAAGAATAAATCTGTGTGATGTGTGACAGAAAGAAATTTACTCTGATCGATTGTGAAACATCCGCTCGATTAAGTGAGATAACAAGACCATAATAAATAAGAGATATTAGAGCTCTTAAGATGTCTAGTCAGATAGTATGAAGAAAAGGACGATAGCAAATAACAAAGCAGACGTTGCTGTGATATTCTCTAAAGTTTTCTCTTCAAAAATTGACGGATTTTCAGTCGTAAATCACGATTTAATGTCACATATATGTTACAATTCAATTGGAAGACTTCCATCTGACTCTCAATGAAAATCTGAGCATCTTACATGAGACAAGTTTCAGGTGACAACCAATCGACCTAAAACCCGTATCAATAGTCATTGCTTGAACTTTGTTCCACGTGAGATATTCAGATATAAAGCTAAAGTTTTTTGCTGGAATCACACAAAGTATATGCGACGTTATATATTTGTAATCAAGATTCAGCTGAAAAATTCACATTCTAACTTTAACTTCAAATGTGAGTGCCTCAACTGAGGTAAGTTTCAAGTAACGTCCATTGATACGGACTTAATGCCGCAATTCTAAGCAGAATCGTAAGTCTCGTAGCTTGTTCTCGTAAAGTTCAGAACTTATGAGTAAATTTACGAGTTTATGCAATATCACATGTCGTACGATTACTCGTAAATATCTATGATTTCATGTAATTTACAATATTTACAAGTGATTGTTACGACACATGATATATAGACTTGTAAATCTACTCATAAATTTTGACGAATTTTACGAGAACAACCTACGAGACTTACGATTCTGCTTAGAATCGCAGCACAAGTCTGAATAAGAAATCTGAGTGTCCCATAGGAAACGAACTTCAGGTGACAACGTATTAATATCAGGTTGGACGGAGGAGTAATTCGAGCGAGTGTGAGCGAGCTCAGCTTTACCTCTGGTCGACGACGCGCTCGACTGCCTGCTGTAACTCGCGTTCAACAACATTGTCATTCGCTCTCGTCTACCGCATCTCTTCGTTCCCAGTCACTGAGAGGAAAACCACGCCTGATGGAACAATGACGCGTGCGATGAGCGGCTCCGTCGGAACACCAGGACGCAAAATCTTGATTGAAAACGCCCTCGAGGAAGGAATCGCGATCACCGTCTTGAAGAGCGCTCGATCGGGGTCAACAAACTGCCGACGACGGATCCTCCTTGGCGTTTTGCCGTCGAGTAGCCGAGGGTTTTCTTCGGGATACGCTCCGTGTGACGCGCGACGACTGCCTCTGATCTCCGTCGCGATCTCTACCTCTTTCTCTCTTTATCACGGTTTCCTTCGTCGCCTTTTTTTCTGCCGCGCGTTTCCCCTCTCTCCCTCGACGACGAGGACAACCGAGCACGACAATGCTTGAAGCCGTTGCGCGCACAAACGACTGTTCGCGAGATACGCGCCAGAACTTTGTCAGAGATGACTCGATCGATGTATCGATCGACTTACCGTGTACGTGTGTGCGTGAGACCTTCACTCGAAAATTCCGAAAACCGATACAAGATAGAGCGACCGATACAAAAATCGTGACTGTTCAGAGCGCGTTATCGAAATCGCGAGAAAAGTCGCGTGTCAACGCGTGATTGCCCCGCGAGCTGCAATGACCGAATCAGGTGTTACTATTGGCGATAATACAATCGAGACTGTACCGATGATAAACCGGCCGGAGGGAGTGTGGCACGTCGCACGTTGCTCGCCGTGAACGAAACTGAAGCGCTGAACGGATCTCTGGAGTTCTCTCTCTCTCTCTCTCGCTGATGTCCGCGCTCGGCGGTCGGGGGAGATAGCGCGATCTCTCCTCCCCCTCTCTTTTTTTTGGCGGGCTCGTCTTGTTTGCGTGTTTACGCGAGTGTACGTGTACGAGATTCAGCCATGTATTCCTAGTCTCTTCGTATCTTTCTCGCCGCGCTATACACCCGCGACGTCACGATTCACGCGCGAGGAACAAAATAAGCAGAGGAAGACTGGTCCGAGACGAAATTTCGCGACGACCGCGCCGGGTCGTCTTGGCAATTCGCCAATAGGTGCCCGGACAGAATATAGAAAAGTCGACAAAGTCGTCGGGATAATTAGCAATGACGATTTCTGTCATCTCTTCTCTCACGGAGCAAGAGGTTGGATCGTAATGGATGAACCAAACGCGTTTTGGTCGAGGGACACGAGATTTCGAGTTCTTGAGGCCAGATTTGGGTCAGCAGAACCGGAAATTCTACGTCCTTCAGTCAAAACGCGTTGCTTTATTTGTTAAAATTAAACTTCCCCCCGATGCCATTGAATTTTGGCCCTCCGTGCTCAAGCTTGCGTCAGAATTGACTTTGGAGGTTGAGAATTGTGCATCGAAAACTAGCACTTGCTGAATCTTGATGTCCGATCCGTAAGGTAGAAGTACCAATACCCGTGAGAAACAAATATTTGAAAATTTATTTGTGTGTTATTTGTTGATATTTGTGAAGTAAAGTTTATTTCGATGAATAAACTTTATACGAAATCAATAACACAAATGTGATAGGACCAATATTTTATTAATGATCACTTGTGTTATTGATTTTTTATATCAGTAGAGAACCTTTGTTTTTTATAATTTTTTTACATCATACATCATACAAAAAAAATTTCAGATGTTTTTCTCAATGTACCTAATCCCTAATTTTTTAAGACATTCTTATTGTTTCAATACGAACTTTAAATACGAACATTTAAACTTTCAACATGAAAAAATATACATACATGTATTAAATATATACGTATATTGTATGTTGGAAGTTTAAATATGATCATTTAAAGACTAAAACAATAAAAACATCTAGGATCAGGTACGTATAAAGGAATTGATACTTTTACCTTAATCCTCAGTCTTGATTATTCGGTCTGATATGGAGTTTTAAGTCGTTACACCGCGTGAATGAAAACGCGACCAATGAGTTGGGCGAGACTTATCGTCACACGTTTCTCGCATTCTTCTTTTTGTGTAGAAAATGAAATGTTGACTTTACATAGGTGCAATGTGCAAGATGTACGAGCATGGCTGCAAAGTTTCCTTAATATCCGCGGCATATGAACGAAGGTCAAGCGCAGTAATGATTGGAAGTTCCGCTAACTATTGCGATACACACGATATGCCTTCAAACGCAGTCGGCTAGTCGCATTTGATCAGCAGTTCGATGTGTAAAATTCAAGGAGTAAAGATCATGTACGCTCATTAGTACGCTATTAGCGCATTGATTAAGATGTCAGTGTCGAAAGTTCGAGGAATACGACGTGGTAGAAGGTACTTTGCTCTTTAAACTTCTCTTCAAGTGGAATTCCATCCGAAAAATAGAACGCTCTGTTTAATATTTTGGATACAGGAAGTCATGAATCTTTCTCTCAAGCGTGAATTCGTGAAAAGTGCTAAGTTTTATATGAACTCGCCAGACAGTACAAAACACTAAAAGATATCTTGAAAACCAAAGACCCAAAGATATCTAAAAGAAATAAAACGTCTTTTGAATGTCTCTAAGACATTTTTTTTATAATTTGTTCTGTCTAGTCGTGATTATGTAACACTAGGCGAAATGTGGAAACGTAAACTTTTCAGCAACTTTCCACGTGAACTGTTTCGCCATCAAACTTGTTTTAATCTAGATTATATTACGGTCAATCTGAATTTCAGTGTGAAAATTAATCATTATCTTATTGATTTACATTGATTTAGATTGAAATTCAGGTTTATATATGTTATTAGGCTTTATGTAATGTCAAACATTTTGTATTCATTGTTTTGAACAAAGTGACTATCGAGTTACTCGAAACAGAATGACTTTTCATTTGTGTACAAGGCTATCTGACGTCGTTCGCATGTTCTCCGGGATAGAATTTGTCAAACCGAACGAGAAAGTACCATTTTGTAAACAACCACGTGAATTTTTTAGATATTATTGAAAATTGGCAGATGAGCGCGCCTGAGTGCAGTGGAACGAGTTCTTTAGACTTGTCTAAAAGAGTCAAAGATATTTGAATCGGTAAATTAAATGCCTGGTTTAAAATTCTCACACATACACGCGTGCAAAAAATCGTCGATTACGTATCGCACTCATGCGATTACCGAATGTAAATTCATTAGAACGGAGTTAATTAAAAGGACACGAGGAATGCGAATTTATATATATTCGGCGCCATTCGACGATTGAGTTCGTGTGTTAGCAGTAGAAAAAAAAAGGTAGTTAAAAGAGAAGGAAGAAAAAAAGAATAAGTCTCTCGTTTCAAGAAAAACGATTAATACAGCAGCAGCCGGTCCTCCGGCTATGACGTCGATGGCTTGATTATAAATGCAGCGATTCTGTCGATTCTGGTTATATCCGTGGCCCGACTCGGGTCCTCTGTATAAAAACAAAAAGAATTATGCGGCTTCCAAGTCGGAGATTGACAAATGTCGCGTCTAGCTCTTAACTGTAATCCGTAATCACGCAGTCGAAATCACTCGAAACGTTTGATTGCAGCTTCTGGAGATGCTGAAGTTCTACGCCCGATTCGAGATCAGCGAGGAAACCGGTAACCCTTTGACGGATCACGATATGACACAGTTGCATTACGCTAAAATTACGTCTCTTCAGGTACGTAGAATCCCGTCCCGTTTTTCCGAGATTCTACACTGAGAAAAGAAAAATTAGTTGATCCAACTAAAATTGCAGAGTTACCTTTGGTACTAACCATTTTTATTTTCTGATTATTCTAACACGGAAATAATAGTAATGACATGCATGTATTGTCACTTAAAACAAAATTGTATTTTATAAAAAAAAAATGGTTTTCTCGATCATGATTTATACACTGTAAAAACTGATGTGTTAAATTTAAAATTTCCTATGTCCCACATCATCCACTCT